AAAAACGGAGAACTGAGCAGTGGTTGTCAGGTGTTATCTCTGAGGTGAGGAGAGGAAGTTTGGCTGCAAAAAGTAGCATGAAAACACTGTGCTTTGGTTATTGATGAGTCTTGGCTGTAATAGAGGTGATTGTTCATTATCAAAACTCACCAAACTATACACTAGAAGAGTGAATTTTTGAAGGTACATAATGTTTGCCTTAGAAAACCATTAATGAGAGAATTACTCATGAAACTAGTGTATTAATGAGTCAAAACTGCCCTTTCTTAAAACTGAGAGCAGAATAAGAGGGCCCAGGTTTGGAAGCAAAATAATTTGTTTGTTTATCTTGGGTCACTGGAACAAATTCTGTGTCTGGGATGTCCAAGTTGAGCTGCCTGATGATGACCAGGATAGCTAATTTTCTACTCAGACGGAAAATGGTCTAAAGTAGTGGTCAAGATTCGGGAGTCCAGCAGCCTGTGTGGCAATGAGGGTCTATAGAACAAAAGTGCCTTTTAGGACAGATTCTAATTCTATTTCTTCTCCAAACTTTTCTCTAAATCTCTCTCTAACTTGGTTTTAACCTTGAAATTTTTAAACTGTGGCAACTGCCATGTCTCAGCGTCTGGAGGACACTTACAACAGCAAGATTCTATCCCAGATCCTGGGCCTTTGCTCATTATATAATCCAGTCCTCTTATGGACAAAATGCTGGAGCACCCTGTTTAATACTGCACCAATGAGCACATGCTGCTCACCTGATGCCAGGCATTCTAACACATGTGACTCTCCCTGCTCACCCTCTGGTGGCCCCCTGCTCTTCCAGGGGAACCACTCACCATGGGATGGTAGCCCATGTATCACCAAGGTGACATGTCTACTTCTGACAGTCTGTGTCAGCCACAGTCATCCTGCCAAAGTGCAGCTTTGAGCCACCTAACCACACATATCTTTGCTCACTACTTCTCTGATTATTCAGGAAGATGGCAGAATGATGAGCAGCAGAGACAGGCCCTCCCTGAGGCCTGTGGCTGAGAATTGAAGCACACTGGGAGAGTGAAGATAGCCACTGTGGAAAAAGTCTCAGTGTAGTACAGTTGTTGGTGAGTGGTTGGGATGAGCACCCCCTAACCCAACCCAGGCTTGCTGTGGGGACAGGTGGCTCAAACCTGTAGCAGAACTGAGCAGAGTTCAAACCCACAGGAGGTCAGGGAGCTTAATTCCAGCCAGGCAACCAAAAATCAGCCAGAATCTCAGTGGACTGCAGCATGCTTGCTGAGAATAAGTGACTCGCATCTGCACACTGCTGTCCACATTGTCTACCAGTGACAGCAGAGACACACCTTGAAGTGGACATTTTTCTTTCTTTTTCTCTTTTCTTTTCTCCTCTGTTCCTCATGTTCTGTTCTCTCCTTTCTTGTTCCTGTGTTTCCCTTTTTTTGTTTTCTCTTGATAGTTCTTATTTTCATAAAAGCCTGAATAGTTTCTAGTTCTCCTGTTGCCATTCCTTCTCTCCTTCCTGTTTTCACCAGTTTCCCAAATTTTACATGATCTTCTTGCATCCTGTAGCCCTACTTCTAATGCTTCTCTCTCCTTCTGTTTCTCTACCCCCACCACCAACTCCTTCTAAGTCTTCTTCCCAGAAGGTAATGTTGCTATATTGTAGGGCTTATTTACTGCAAACATACAGATTTTGGAAGGCCCTGTGTGTGTTGTGCGGATTTGAGTGAACTGGCTGAGCTGGACCCACCCTACCCCTTCAGATGGTGGGATCTAGGAGTATCCCTCACGTCAGGAAGAGATGGAGATGCTGAGAGGAGAGATGTCCTCAAGAAACTACAGAACAAGTAAAAGAGCAGAAGAAGGGTGTGGTGTAGCAGAGAGCAGTTGAGGGTGAACGTGGAGGCAGGCAATTTGTGAGCTTAGCGAAAAGGCAGTTCGCTCTGTGGGAGTTGACTTTGATGCAGCTGCAAGGTGACCAGGGACAGTTATTCACACGAGGAGTGTTGGGACTCAGAACAAAGCCTGAAGAATGGAACACTGCTGTGGGGATAAAGCTTAGAGGAGTCCTCATCTGGGACAGGTCTAAGAGGTAAGTAAGGTCTGACACACAGCAAGGGCAAGTTCACTTATTGTGGGACTGCTGTGTAGCCCCTAGTTAGTCAGAATATAGCAACACAAAACAGAGTGTGAGGGAGCCTGGTACTGGTAAACAAGATAGTGACTCAAGGCCTCGCCAGAACAGAACATCCTGAGGTCTAGAGATGATCAACCTAAGAGACCAGGAGTGCTCTACACCCGACCCCCTGAGAGAGATAGCAGAAAACTGACCCCTTGCCCACTTGCTGTCCTTGCAATCCTCTCCCCTTGCCTTTAAAAGTTGTGAAAACCTCTGAGCTGGTGCCTCTCAGAGCTACTTGGCTCCAGGAGTGCCGTCTGGCCAGACTAATAAAGGGCTGTTTTCCAACTATTCCGGTGTGTTCCTTCCTGGGTCACTGCAGCTACTCGTCGAGCTCCCGGAGCCTCGCTGAGGTATAGGTCCCAGCATCTTGAAGGCCCTTTGGGCTGTTTAAGGCTCCCAGAAGTAAGGCCCTGGGTCTTGCCTCTGGAGCCCTCGTTGGGCTACAGGACTCAGCATCATGAAAGTCCTTTCAGCTGTTCATGCTACTCGGAATGGAAGTGAGACTTTTGATCTTACATTGTGACCATGATGTGCCTGGATTACCTGAGAGAGAAGTGTGACTCTCAGGCAAAGTGAAGCCCCAGAGACTTTGCCTAGGGCTCTCCTGTCTCCTGGGAGTGTCCACTCTCCCGGATCCTGCATTGGGCCTGTGGACTGGCCTCCCTGATCTAAACCATAAGACTATCTCTCTTCCGAAAGAAACAAAAATTGTAAGAGAGATCACTTACAGATTTCGATCATGTGATGGCACTCCTGACTCATTTGAAATCTACAGGGCAGGCCAGTAGGTCGGAAAGTCACACAGCATTTTTTTCTTTGAAGGATTTTCATTGGTGGTTTACTTCACATGTGTAAATTATACACATTAATGGAGTTTAGTGTGACACATCACAGCATGCTAGAGCACACAGAAATCCCATCCAGTCATGCTTCCACATGTGAGGCAGGATATGTTTTACTTCACAGTGAGCCTGGCTTATTTGACTTGGCATAATGTCCTCTGGTACAAGCGACTAAAATTTACAAAAATGTTTAGAGTTTACAGTTTTAGATTAGAGCAGACAAATCCTAGAAATAGCTAAAGCAAGCCTACCAGAATGTGTACAGTTTTATTCAGGTAATGAAGAAATTTAACCTAACCTTTTCCCCTAATGTAACTGTGATATAAATAAAGTCGTATATCACTGTCAATGAAGAGGGCGAGAAGAACTTAAAACTCTGAATTTCGTGAAATTGCTGGTAGAAGGAAAAAGGACAAATGTGGGTTGCTGTCTTCTGCATCAGGAACTCACGCTGCAAAGCACACAAAGAAGAGCAGGGCTGGTGAAGAGAGAGGGACACAAAGAGGAAAGACAGGGTGGAGGGAGGCTTTTAGACTGAGAGAGAAATAGAGACCAAGATTGTGGAAGAGGGAGAGAGAGAGAGAAAGGGCGGAAGGGAAAGAGACAGACAGAGAGAGAGAGTCACAGCAAACACGCATGAGTAGCAAAACACGAGGAAGTCTTAGGGGAGACTAAAGACTGTTCACTTCGTACTTGTACTTTGTAGTGGCAGGGAAGAAGGTGGGGGCTGGGGCCTGGCTAAGTGACCCATGGCCACATGAGCTGGAGGAAAGTTTTAAAATGCCTGCATCTACAACACTGCACAGTCTGCAGCAGCACCCCATAGCAGAGAGAATAACAGTCCAATGTAATATTAGGAGAGCAGGTACATGGAGCTGTCATGGCCACGGAGACTGTAGTAATACCTACAACCACCCTGGTGGGTGAGGCCTGGCTGTCTAAACAATCTTTATTATTTTATTTATTTATGTTGGTACCGGGGATTGAACTTGGGACCTTGTGCTTGACAGGCAGGCAGCAGCACTCCTGAGGTAAATCCTTGGCCCTAAACAATCATTGTTTTGATGCAGTGTAAGGAATGCACTAGAAACAGAGTAGCAAGTACAAGAGAAAGCAAAGAAGGTATAGCAGCATGAGTTAGTCCACAATCAAAGAAAGCCTTGAGCAAGCAACAGGTTCGTGCCGTGGGGTGAACACACTGATGAGGTTCAGAGCCAATGAGGTCCAAAACACAAAGAAAAACAAAGTGAGCAATGGTAGGGGCATGGAAAGGACCTAGAGAATCATTTCTGCGCCTGTTGACATATTCCCGGAAGTGATGTCTACTGACTATGGAGTAGTCCACTCAGAGCATACTGAGGTCCTTTTTCTGAGTTCCCCTTCATTTTACTTTTCTTTTTTTGGGGGGTGGAGGTACCGAGGATCGAACTCAGGATTCTGTGCTTGAGAGGAAGGCAGCAGAACCATTGAGCTAAATCCCGGCCCTCTGAGTTCCTCTTTCACGGCAGAGCAGCAGAGAGGATCCTGGCACATTTGGGGTTCCAGTTAGAAGAGAGAAGGGACTAAGGAAGTGCGGCCCTAGAGGCGGAGTCAGCAAACTACCCAGATCTGCCCCTCTTGTGAACCCTGGACCACACAGGGGCTGATTTGTTACAATGAAGTTCAGGCTCCTTGCACCCTGGGAGGTAGACCATTCCTTGAGGGGAACAGAAAGAATCCAAGTCCATAGAGGAAGGCGGTGCTGGCTCTGCCAGGAACCAAGAGGCTGAATTCCCAGTGACTACAGAGGGGACCTTGAAAATTCCCTTCAGCTCGTGCTCTCAGCCTGGGAGAATCCGGGCATGTTGCTTGAGGTCTCCTGACCCAGGAGGCAGCAATAGCGGCCGAGGTGGCAGGAGGCCGTGGCGGAAGCAGCCGATTCTGTATGGACTACAAGAGGGAACCAAAAAGCCCACTAACATGACCAAGACCACCACTATCCTCCAAGATCCAGAGATTCAGATCAGAGCTTCTGAACCCTGGTTTGAGGTGCTCTCTTCAGGTGAGAGGAATGGTGGAGGTGGCCTGGGTTAGGTCTCAATGTGACAGGCTATTGGGGGAATGAGGGAGCTCGCCGCTGAGAGACGGTGCCCCTGAATCCCGATCTGCCTCTTTAGTGAACCTTGCAGGGCGAGAAGGCATTTTCACTTTCGGCCCTGGGGACCCAGCATACATCGTTAGACCTGGGTTCTGACAGCTCTTGGGAAAGCCACCATGGTCGAGCAGTGTCCCGGGTTTAGAATCGGGGAGGTCATAGTGCGGGTCTGAGAGATACTTGCCCGAGCCCCAAGGGAGAAAGAGGGTTCCAGAACATTCTACAACAGGCTCCATCTTGTGCCCTGCAGCGCGAGGTGCAGGAGTCTGAGGACAGCGTCACCTTTGGCCTCAGGGGGAACTGCATGCATCCTCAGAACTGTTCCCAGGTCTTTGCTGCTGGTGGCTGGAACAGAGGGTCAGAGCTCAGTTAGGTCAAGGTGTGGGGCTTGACTGGGGAGACTAAGAAAGGTGCCCTCTGGAGCAAAGGTGTCCGAACTTTACAGAAGCCTTGGTTGCCTGCCCCCCCACACGGTGCTGAATTCTCAGGAGAGCACTAGTGTTCACTTTTCTGCAATTTAAAGGCAGAGTCTAAAGAGCCTAGTTGCAAAGTCTATGTATTTTTGTATGTATATGTGTATGTATGTGAATATATGTATATATTTGTATTTGTGTATATATTTGTTTCATATATATTTTTTGCAGGATGCAGTGATCATAGTCCTCGTGTTGTTTGTATATGTATATGCAGGCAACTGTGTAGATTTTATATACATATATATTTATACACGTTTGTAGCACAGAATGATCACATTCCTCATATGCCCAGTTTACAATTTCACCTCTTTTTTGTGATTTCCCTATCCTCCATCCTCCTCCCTACATGCCTTGCTTCCCTGCTCTTTTTATCAGTCTTTAATTTTGCCCTTTATTTACATTTTGGATATCTCATACCAGACAAACCTTGTTATTTAAACTTACGTGTCTGATTTATTTGCCTCATCATTATGGTCTGGAGATGCATGAATTTGTCTGCATTTGACTCCACTTTGTCATTTTTGCTGTAAAAGTAGCAACCGATTTTACATAAATAATACATTTCCCTTGACCATTCCTCCGTTGATATTAAAGAAGGACCACGTCCAAGATTGACCTATTATGAGTTAAGCTCTTACAAACATGGATATGTATGTATTGCATGTATTGCAGTAATATGATGTCTTTAATTATTTCAAAAATTGGCTGAGTTAATTGTAAATTGTAGTGTTGTTTTCTACAGTCTCCTGACTAATTTTCATAGTGGTTGTATAGTTGTTTCTGTATCCTCCATTCTATTCTCTTGGTCCAAACCTTTTCTTTTCGTTTCTTTTTTGTTTTTTTTGCCAGTGTCATTCTGTTTGTATCGATGTAGTTTTATAGCAGAATTTGAAGTGTGGGATTACGATGTCCTCTGCCTTGCTCTCATGTCCCAGAATTGCTTTTGCTCAGCTAGGTCTCTTCTACTTCCATATGAAGTTTAAGCTTATGTTCTCTTGTGCTTTGAGTAATGCTACTGGTATTTTGATTACTGTATTAAATCTGTGCAACGGTTTTAAAATTATAGCCATGTAGACTGTATTGGTTTTGTCTATGCTGGAACAGGGGATGCCTTTGCATTTTGTGATGTCCTGTTCAATTGCTTCTTTAGATTACTATGGTAGTCATTATAGAGGTCTTTCTTTCCCCTGTTTAGGATAGTTAGTAAGGATTAAACTTTGTGACACTATTGTGAAAGTTTCATTTGCATAATTTCTTTCTCCATGAGATTCTTATGAATGTATGTACAGAAATATTTCTGGCATCTTTTCGTGGAGTTTTGGGGGTCTTGTATGTAGACGATCATGTAATGTGTAAAGACTGATCCTTTGCTGCTTCTTTTCCTATGCAGATTTCATTCAATTCTTTCTCCTGCCTGGCCGTTCTGGCTAATGTTTGGAGAGCTATATTGAATAAGAGTAGCTGTAGTAGACATGCTAGTATTGTTCATGAATTCGGTAACAAGATAGCTTGCCCCATTTCACTTATTATGTTGGCTGCTGGTTTGTCATAGATAGCTTTAATCTCATTGAGGCACATTTCTTCTATGAGTGCTTTATCTGGAATGGACTTTGGAATTTGTCAAATATTTCTGGCTTTTTTTTTTTTGAGGCAGCGTCTCACTATGTAGTTGAGACAGAGCTGGAGCTCACTGTGTAGCTCAGGCTGGTCTCAAACACGCAGCAATCCTCCTGCCTCAGCCTCCCAAGTGCTAGGCCTACAGGCGTGTGGCACCACACTAGACTTTTTTTTTCTTTCCGTTAATATCATCATGAGATTTTTGTCCTTTCATCCATTTATGTGATGTATTCCCTTTATTAAATTGGGCATGTTGAATCATTTCTGCATCCCTAGAATGAATCCTACTTGGTCTAGTTGCATGAAGTTTTTTGATGATTTCCTGCATTGTTTTTTCCAGTACCTCCTTGAGGACTTCTGAATCTCTGTTCTTAAAGAGTTTGGACCTATTTTGATTTTTGGTTGTGTCCATTTCTGGTTTGGGAATCAGGGTAATGTTTGTTTCCAGGAACGATTTTAGGAATACTGCTTCCCTTTCCATTTCATGGTACAGATTCAGGAATATTGGCATTGAATCATGAATAAAATTTTTGTAGGTATCAGTGAATCCACGGAGGCCTGGGCTCTTCTTTGATGTTAATTTTCATTACTCCTTCTTCAGTTTCATGGAGAGAGAGCTGGGATTTAGCTCTATGGTTTTGCCGCCTGCGTCAAAAGTGCAAGGACCCGAGTTCAATTCCAGGTACCGAAAAACAAAACACCCACAATTTCATGGAGAGATATGGACTATCCATTCTTTTTATATTTCTTTGATTTAAGTTTAGTACTGCATGTCTATCAGAATTGATACATTTCTTCAATGTCACCCATTAAATTAGAGTACAGTTGGTGTGGGGAGTTAGCTCGGTGCCGCTATGTCTGCATCACAAGTGCTGTGTTGAGTTCGATCCCAGGTACTGAAAAGAAAATTAGAATACAGTTTTTTAAAGTGATTACCAGTGAATTCAGAATTTTGGCAGTGATTTCACTTTATCATTTCTAATGACATGCGTTTGGATTTGTAATTTCCTTTTTTGGTCAAATTCGTCAGATTGTGCCGGATTTGTTTATTCTTTCCAGGAACATGCTCTTCAACTCATTGATTCTTTATATTTTTTATTCTCAGTTTAATAACCTCTTCTCTTATTTTTGTAATTTCCTTTTCATAGTTACTTCTATTTGTGGTCATTCTTGTTTTTCTAACTCCATGTTGTGCTTGTTGAAGTTACTATTATCACCATGTTTTGAGCTTGCTCTGTTTTTCTGATGTGGGCATGCATTGCTATAAATTTTCCTCCTACTACAACTTTCATTGAGGCCCACTGGTTCTGGTAAACCGTAGTGGTACGACCATGTGATGCTAGATCTCTACAGTGTTCCACCTAATAATGGAAAGCACATTTTTATGTGCACCTAGTAAGATTTTTACCAAAGCACTGTAGGACACATGCTAGGCATGAAGCCATACTTAAGTAAAAGCAAAAGAATTGAAATTATTCCATTCATATTATGAGTAGATAGTGCAATGAAAGTACAAATCAAAGAATCCTTTAATTGTAGGAAGGAATTCCTTCTTTGGTATTTCCTTGAGCCACTGATTATTCAATAGCATATGTTTTTTTCTGTGGGTTTGCAAAGTTTATGTGGATTATTTTGCCATTGATTTCTAATTACATTGTAGCGTCTTCTAATGTGTATGGAATGCTTTCCATTATTGTACATTAACCTACGCGTGTTTTCTGGGCTACCATGGATGTATCTTGGACCATGCCACATGCATTGTAGAGCATAATGTGTATTCCGTTGTTGGCTGGCTGTAGATATCTCTCAAGACGATGCATTGGAATGTTTGGTTGAATTCTGATATTTGTTTGTTGATTTTTTGCGTCCGTTAGATCAACCTATATGTGACACTGGGATAATGTTACTGAGAGGAACAGTACTTCCCTGATTTTCGAAAATTTTAGTTGTGAACAAATCATGGAAGTGCCCCACGCATGCGTCAAATATTACCACAGTTGAGCTGCTGTGTGTCTACTGGACATTGCCATAGTGTACAGTAGTATACTACAGAGAGGGACTTACTGTATTTGTGTGCATTTATTAATGTTTATAATGTATAGTTGTGTCAAAGTTGTATAAGACTCACTTTGTCAGACTTATGAATGAATCCTTCCAGAAAGAAACTTATTTCTAAACGAGAGACTTACTATACTATAATTGTGTTGGCATTTCTCTAATTTTTTATCTTCATTGGTGTTTCTTGTATGAAGTTGTGTGTGCCAGTGTTTTTTTATATATCTATAATTGTTATTTTGCCTTGTAGAATTGCTCCTTTAACTAATATATGGTGATGTTTTTCTCTTCTAATCAGCTTTGACTGGAAATTCCTTTGACATGAAATAAAGCGACATACTCCTGCTTTTCTCTGGATGTCCCTGTCATGGAATATTGTTTTCCATATTTTGATATCCAATCTGTGAAATTTTGAAGGAAATGTTTTCTATATGTTCCATATCATTTGTGTTGGTTCTTGATTCGGACTGCCTATCTGTATCTTTTGTTGGGGGAATTGAGACCTTTCTCATGGAGAATTATTCCTGAAAGGTATTGACTTATTCCTGCAGTTGCATTATTTGTCTGATGGTGATTTCCTTTGTTTTTCCCTTGTGTTTAGGTGCTCATTCTGCCAGATGTATTTGCTCTTTTTGATTTCTTTTTTTTTTTTCCATTTTGCATTTTGCTTTGATTGCGTCTTTCCAGTATATCCTTGACAATTTTTGGGGGGGTTGTAGTCGTGTATTTTTGGGGTGCTGATGAATAGAATTTCCTTCTCTGTCAATTTTAAAGGAAAGTTTACAGGGTATGTATACGTGGGTGGAAATTGTTATCTTTTGGGAGTTGAAACACTTTACTCCAAGCTTCCTGGTGGTCTGTGTTGAGAGACTGCAGTTAGTCTAGTTCATTTAACTTTCTAAGAGATTGGTTGGTGTTCTCTAAAAGTTTTTAACAATATGTCAGTGTGTTGGACTTCTGTTGTTTGGAGAATAATGTAAGTTTTGGTCTTGGCTACTTGTGGTTGTACATGCTTTGTCATTCGTATGTTTATTTTTATCTGTATCTGAGAAGTTGTCTGATATAATTTCTGTAAAATGATTTTTAAGCCATTTGGAGTATCTTCTGATTTTTGAGGTATACGTATTACTCCGGATGAGTCTTCAATGTGTCATCTAGCAGCTGTTGGATCCATTTTTCATGCTTTGTTGTTGATTTAAAGAACTGTTAAGTACTTTTTCATTGAAAGAAAGCCTATTTCTAACTCTTAAATTGCAACCTAACATTGGTTGTTTTGTTTGTCCATGGGTTCTATGTAATTTTGAATCACCTGGATTATTGATTGAGACCTCCTCACGGACTCTCTTGTTTTGCTTAACCGTTCGTTCATGTTTTGTATCATTTTCGTTACCCCAAGTAGCTTTTTATTGTTGTGTTCTTAAAGCTCCTTAATTATTTCTGTTATTACTGCCAGTATGGCTTTAGTCATATCTTCTGAGACTATGCCTAGCACTTTTAAACTTTGTTTTGAACCTACTCTGTTATCCTTCCACATGATTTGGTTCTGTTGCTTCTACTATTCTTCATCTCAGTCACTCCTGGATTGCATTTGAGGAATTTGAGAATTTGGGTGACATTTCATGGGCTTCTATTGTCAGGTTCGTATAGCTTCAGTCGGTGGCACATAGAGTGGAACACTTTTGTTGCTATCATAGTGATCTTTTGTTAGTTTGTTTTACAATGACAAGATTTAGGCAAGGCTGACTATAGTCTCTAAGTTGAGCCCTAAATTCCAACCACTTTCTTTAATTTGGAAAGTGGATGTGGAGGGTAATTTGCCCAGCAGCACATTGTCCCAGGGCATGTACTGCAGTTTTGTTAATGAGAAAGGGAGAGTCTGGATATTACCTTACAAAGAAAACACATTGGTGGCAACATTTATGTGACCTTGGAAAATGCAGGCAGATTGCCTTCTGTGACATTGTCTAAAAGAAAGTGGACATTAACGTTACTACAGACACCAATTAGGTGCCATCCATACGTATGGAGAAGAAATCCACCATTACTATACAAACATTAAGAAAACCTAGATTCTAGCAAACAGCAAGTGTATGGTAAATGTGCCAGCCACAGTTCTGCTGATGTTTGAAAGGATTTCATAGTAATTTTAAGACTGAAGTACCTCTGTATTGTTATAGCTTATTACTCATAGTATTAAAGGTATAGTTAGTTCAAAAAGCCATGTGCCACCAGAAACATTGGAAAACTTACACACTAGCGTGTGAGGAGGAGGAAAGTAGTGTCATAAATGATCCTATCGGCAACTAGAAGGATGCCTATAAAAGTAGTAAAGGTAACAGAAATATAGAGAAGAGAAATGGAAATTAGCAGACATAAAGGAAGAGAAGAATACAAATTACATGTATAAGGAAACTAATTTTAAAAACATGAAAAATTTAATGGTAAAGTAAGGCAAAACATGAAAGAAATGTAAATAAGGAAAAGAAGAAACAGGGTTTTGTTTTGTTTTGTTTTGTATTGTTTTGTTTTTTGGTGTTGCTGAATGAGTAGTTTGCTCTCTAGATGTTGAACTTTGAAGTGTAGCGATTCTCGATTTTCTGAGTCCCCTATGCATTTCCAGGCTGTGGCTGTGTCCAAGTCATGTTCTGCCCCTGCTCACACTGGCTGGCAGAAGGTGGGCAGCCAGAGCACGGGTCCATGTACAGGCAAAAGGGCAAGGGCTGCAATACTCAATGCCAAGACTTTGAAATTCAAAACAACCTCTGGCTGTTGGTGGTAGGGCTGTGTCCTTCACAGTCTCAAGGAGCCTCTTTGCAGCCTGCTCTGTGCAAAGCTGTGTCCTCTTCCTGTCACTCACACAGTCACTGTGTGAAGATAATAACGGGAACTCTGATGCGAAGCTGTCCTTGTTCTGAGCCCCAGGGTCAAAGAATTAGACCTTTGCTCCACTGAGCCCCCGCACTTCGCTGGCTGGAGGGAGGGATAGGGCAGCACACGCATTCGGGAGTGTCACTGTCTACCTGCGTGAGAAGACTGTGGCCACAGAACTCCACACTGTCCCTGCACATCGGCAGCCTTTGTGCCACTGACACAGTGCTTCTTCTTTGGATATACTGAGTCCCCAGCTTTCCGTTGGCTTCTACAGATTCGAACTCGTTTGTCCATGAGCAGCGAGGAAGAGAGAAAGTTCCAAATGTTTTCATCCTTCACCACATTGTATTCTGTCTCTTCAACTTTTCTGTACTTGTCAATTTTCATGTTATTTTTTTCACTTCTTTCCAGGTTCCCTGCTTCTTTCTCTTTTTCTTAATTTATTTTCTTGTCTTGTCTTTTTTTTTACATTCTCAGGTTGTTATATTATTGACTCTGCACGAGGCTGAATTGCTGCTGTTCACCACTCCTTCATTTTCCAGCACAGAACATCTTCAGGTCCCACAGTCATAAAAAGAAGGTAATCCACACAGATGCCTTCTTCTGTTCTCACCCTGACTTTCCAGTGAGAGAGGGTGTGTGTCAATTGGGTTCACTTATGCTAATCATTGGAGTGAGAGCACTCAGGGAGCTGAGGAGCTGGCTCCAAGAATTCGCCACAGGTCAGCAGAGGGAGTACAGCAGGGAGTTGAGTGCACTAGGAACCAGAAGGCTGCCCCAGCCAAAAAGGTCTCCACCTCCTTAGGGTTATGGGTGCCCCCTGTTCAGAAACCACAGAGTGCACACACTGTGCCTACTCCTTGGGTCAGAGCTGGGAGGATCTAACTGGGATGCCACATTCTGCGATGGAAAAAGTAAGTCATCAGGGAGATGAAGACTGGGTCTCAAAGGGAGAGAGCAGTTCATCTCCAGTGTGGTGGGGATGGGGGTAGTCTGGCTTCCAAAACAGAAGGAAAAGTGATAAACTTCAGAAGCACGTAGGAGAAAAGTTACTCTTGTTCTCATTCCAGAGGCTCAATACCTAGAATCTGCAATTTCTTTCTTTTTTTTTTTTGGAACCAGGGTTTGAATTCGGGACCTTTTGCTCCTGAAGCTGGTGGGAGGACCACTGAGCTAAATCCCCGGCCCCATCTGCAGTTCACTAGAAGAAGAGTTGAGTTGGGTTCACAATGCATAGCCTGTTCTTTTTGTAGTCAGCCAGCTCTTCAGGAGAATTGAAGAGTAGAAGGGCCTGGTGGGAGGAAACCTGCTCACAATTTCCCCAGGGAGAAGAAGGTGAAGGGAGCAGCCAGGAAGGAGATAATTCCTGCCTCATTACCCCCAAAGTGACCTACCTCTTCCTACCAGGCCCCCTCACCATAGCACAAGTGAGTTGTAAAATTTCATAATCCAGACACCTTTCAGAAGTCCTGGCTGTGTCCCCATGGGGATTTTGTAGGATATCTAGACTTGAAACAGAACCTCAGTGTTACATCACCTGTGAGACGTGCCCTCGTCCTGCTGTCAGCACTGAGCATCCCCTTGTAGGGGTGACAGCCCTGGTGCCTGCTCCCTTCGTTGAGGGCCCTGGAAACCTCATGGAGGTGACGTGCGTGTGCTGAGATGGTATCTGCAGGTTGGCACAGGGAACCCCATCTGGTCAGGATCTCAGAGAGTGAAGACGAGGACCTAAAGAGGATCGAGGGTACTCCTGAGCAGAGCACACATGTGGATGTCCCACAGACTTTTACATGGCTTCTTCACTCAGCCCAGAAGCCTGAGCAGGGCTGTCAGGCTAAGGATGCTCTCTTAATTCCTCGCCTTTGATTTCTAGCAACTGCAAGCCTTAGTGGGTGTGAGGTGGATCAAGGAGAACAGAAATAGAGTCTTCAGCTGTGTTCAAGAGTCCAGGTGAGGGCAACGTGACGCTCATCAGTCCAACACACAGCACCCTAGCTCTACCTGTACCTTTGTCCCTGTCCTCCGATCCAGGGAACACAGGAGAGTGTATTCTCCAGCATCTCTCGTTGAATATCTCATAGATGCAGGCATGTGGTTTCAAGAAGGAGACCTCAGGTCATCCCGGGGAGATCCCAGACCTAATCATTTAGCAAAATCAGCTTGGAGGAGGTTCCGGGTTGTAGAGCACAGGGACCTCACTGAATGTTTGCCCTCCACCTGTGACCTCCAGGCAGCTGTACGCACATGTGTGTCCCTAGGTGCGTTTTGCGATCTCTCAGGAAGAGAGAAATTCTTTGTAAACCTTTCCATTGGGCCATCTGAAGAGAGGGTTCCAAGGCCGACTCCTGGAGAATTGAAGGCCTGGGGTGTGCAGAGAGCTGACCATGCACACAGGAGAGTGAGGAACACACAGGTCCAGCTCACCCCTCATGGGAGGGCTGGTAGACCAAGACTGAGCCTGTGGTCTGCGCCTGATGGGCCTTCTGTGTGTCTTCCAGGAGCTCCCGGAACCAGGGCGTGAGAGAGTTGTTGGAAAGCAGTGTCCTCGGCACTCAGGACAGAGCAGTACCAGACAGTGTCAGGAGTGCAGGTGAGATGCAGGCACTCATGTGTACCTAGGGCTGCCCCGACCCAGAACAGGACATCTCACTGTACCTGGCCTCCACATACCACACTGTATCCCGTAGAGCCTTCTCTGTGGTGCAGCTGCACACTGAGGAGCAGCCTGACCTGAAATCCCAAGATTATGAGGAAAGGACAGGCGAGGACCGCAGCTTGGAAAGCACCCCAAGATGAAAGATCCTTAATGGGTTATTTTGGGTGGGCCACAGGTGTGTTCTCATCTGGAAACACTAACAGTGTCCCTCTCTCCACCAGAGCTCCGTATTCACAAGAAGGTCTTGCCCTGTCCATATAACGTCACGATGCCCCATGATCAGCAGAACGAAGACAGCAAGCTACAGGAAGACCATCTTGCCAAAACTAGTGCCGGGGAACTCATGGGTGTGCGCGTTGTCAAGGATGAGGGGGATGCAGCAGCCTCTGCTACCTCTGTGTCCTCTCCCTCCTCTACTGTACTCGAACCCACACCAGTAGGAAAGCCCCGACCTGGGACACCAAGTTGTCCTCAGAGTCCTCAGGGCATCCCGTCTCCCCCCAGTGCTATGGCTTCCACTCCAAGGAGCCAATGCTGTGAGGGCTCAGGCAGGCAGGAGGAGGAGGGTCCGAGTCCCTCGCAGGACAAGGACGCCACCGAGATCTGGCTCCATGAGTTAGCACATGCCATTTTAGATAAAATGGCGCCATTCCTGCTCCGCAAGTATCAGCAGAAGGAGCAGGTCACCATGGAGGAAATGCTGCACGTCATGCATAATGATTACTTTGAGCACTTCCCTCAGATGTTTGGGGAACTCTGTCAGTGCATGTGTCTGTGCTTTGGCATTGAGATGAGGGAAGTGGATGGCCCTAGACACACATATGAGCTTCTCTCCGTCCTGGGCCTCACTTTTCATGGGATCCTGGATGATGACATCCAGATCGTTCCCAAAGGGAAACTCCTGATGGGCATCCTGAGTGTTATCTTCGTGAAGGGTAACCGTGTCAGTGAGGAGGACCTGAGGGCACTGCTGATAGATATGAAGCTATTAAATGAGAGGCAGTACGTTATGATTGGGGATCCCTGGAAGTTCATCACAGAGGATTTGGTGCGGGAAGAGTACCTGGTGTACCAGCAGGTTCCTAATAGTTCTCCTGCTCGCTATGAGTTGCTATGGGGTCCCAGGGCACAGGCAGAAACCAGCCCATTCAAAATTCTGAATCACTTGTTCAGTCTTCATGGACTAGATCTCAGGTCTTACCCCCATCTGTACGAACAGGCTTTGAGAGAGGAAGAAGGTCTGTTTGAGGCCTTTGAGGGTGAAGGTGTGTGACAGGGATGGGGCGTGTTCTACCACCAAGTCACTGCTGAGTCCCCAGCGCCTGTGAAATGAGGCCCATTCTCAATCTGTGTCTGGAGAGCAGGCATTTTGTAAGCAGTGAGGGCAGAGGTGGTGATAAAATACTGTGCCTGACATCCTGGGTTCTTCTCTTTGTACTACTGAGAAACTGACCGCTGTTTCCTTTATGTTTTTCAAGTCTTGTTCCTTTTTTTCGTTAGATTGAATTTGCTTGCAAATCTTTTTTGTGGGATGATAGTGATCTCAGGTGTATTTTTATTGTTCTGATATTTTTGTTTGATTTTGATTTGTGATGTGATTGTGATTTAGTGCTATACCGATCACGGACAGATTTTGGTTTTTCATGGAAAGTCCAACACCCAGCATCCTGGCTGGTTCGTAAAGCCAATGGGGAAACTTTCGTTTTGTTTATGATAAAAAGTTTGTATAAGATGTTGTTTGGAAATGTGTAGCAGGTCTACCTGAAGGTAGATGGAGCTCAGATAAAAACTTAAGGATAATGTCAAATCTTGAATTATTTCTTTTTCACTGGTTTTGTAACTATTAAAAATATTTGTCGATCTGCATTTGCTTGGTTTATTTACTTACATTCAGGAAATTTGCTCTCCATTAAGATCCCATCTACTGAGGGACACACTGGCCCCAAACCTTCCATGGAGACCTGGAAGACCCTGTGTTGGTGGGAAGATGTGAGTACACCAGACTGAGCAGGACCCAAGCTGCCCCATGGATGGTGCAGTCCAGGAGTACCAGCAGTGTCTCCAGGGAGAGGGGTGTCCGCAAGGTCCTACAGGACAGGTAGCAGAGCACCGCAGGAGTGGAGTCTAGCAGAGAGCAGCCATGGTGAGTGCTGAGCCATGGAAGTTTGGGGGCTTGGGTAACTACAGTTTAGTCTGCAGGATGTGATTGTAATGCAGCTGTGTGATAGTCAGGACCAGACCCTCAGATGAGGTGGCCTGGGCCTGAGCAGATGGAAGACTGCTCTGAGCAGTGCTTTTAGAGGAGGGATGAAGTTGAGAGGGATCCTCCCCTGGGCCAGCTCTGAGAACCCTGGCTCACGGCAGGGCATGAACCCAGGGACTGATGCCCAGCATCTCCAAGTTTTTCCTGAGAGATCAGGGGGCCTCAGGACAGGTGAGGCACTAAGGGCCAGCTACGTCTTCTGTTGTCCACATGCCAGGGTCCTGCTGTTGACTGCTTCCCTGGGTCAACTTCTCCTCCTGAGGGCCGTTTTCCCTAACTCTCATAAAGATGGACGTGAGCATCTGCGCAGTCTCACTGACCGGTTGTACCAGTGGTCGGGTGGCTGCCTGGCCAAGTGGTTCTCCCTGCAGTGACCCTTCTCAGGTTTCCCGAGTGTCTTCTCTCTCTTCAACCAGGACTGCACGGGGGCACTTTTCAATTATGTCCTTTGTGCAGGAAGTTTATGCTAGTCATGTGGGGTTGTGTGAATTTGCCTGAAGTGTCTCAGAATTGTGTCTGTGCTCAGCCGGCCTTGTCGTTAGCATGGCCCTGTGGGTTTTTTTCCCTTAAATTCTTTTATTGGTACCTTTCAGGTATACAATACATTTACATTTATCGCTGAGAACTTCTAACTTTAGGTGATGTAAGTTGGTTCTTCTTTTTCCCCTTCACCTATCCTTCCTTCAAGTCCTCCACCCCTCCCTCTATACACAGACTTTGTTTCTCTATTTTCCTTTCCTCATTCTTTTTCTCTTCTGTCGTTTCCCCTACCCGTCCTATTTCCTTTATCCTTTTGGAACTTTTCTTCCTATTTCACATTATCAATTATTTATTTTAAGCTTTATTTACACTTTAAATTTCTCATACCAGAGGAAATTTTCTATTTATTTACACTTGTGTGCTATTTATTTCACTTAAGAGTATCACTTTAACGTGCATCCATTTAGCTATAAAGGTCTCTAATTTCTCATTCTTTCTGGCTTTCGTAAATATATATGAAAGCGTATCATTTTTGTCCAGTCTCCAGTTGATGGAGCCATGGAGCTTGGGGGCTTGAGGTTAGTACAGTACCTTCCGCAGGAGTTGATTTTAATGCAGCTACGCAGTGGCCAGGAGCAGAACCCCTCAGATGAGCTGGCTTGGGCCTGAGAGCATGAAGAGTGCTCTGAGCAGTACTTTTCAGTAGGGGGTGAAGCTGAGAGGAATCTTCATCTGGGACAGCTATGAGCAGCGTGGTCCTACACGGGGTAACCACCACAGTCTTATCCCCCGTGTCTGCAAGCATTTCCTGAGAGATAAGTGAGACTCTGGTGAAGAGAGATGCTAGAGTCCCTGGCCAGTCTCTGCTTTCCAAAGGCAGTGTCCACATTCCAGGCTCTATCAGTGCCCAGTTGACTGGCATCCATAGATACGACAGCTCTTCCTTCGTCCGGTTTGCCTCAGTACTGTTTCAACACGGACATACACATCTGGAGAGTCACACTGACAGGTTACACCAGTGGTTAGGTGGCTGCCTGTCCAAGTGGCTCTCCTTCCAGAGACCCTTGTCAGGGTTCACGAGTGTGTTCCCCTTCTCATATGGAGACTCCAGTTGGGCAGTTGTCAACTATGTCCTTTGCTGAGCAATTTTCTGCTAGTCATGCGGGGTTATGTGAATTTGCCTGAAGTGTCTTACATCTTTGCTCAGCAGTCCTTGTCAGGAGCGTGGCCTGGGTTTCAGTCCTCTTTGCCATGGAGTCCTCATGAGCCCCAAGGCTAGACTGTTGGTGAGGGAGATGGGATTGAAAATAATTGTTCCAGTGCATGGGAAGCTGGCATGGAGCGGACACGGTTCTTCCCCCGATTCCTGGCATTTGGACTTGGTCATAGCAGGGATACATGCAACAATATGTAATTCATAAGACGTAGTATTGGGAGAACAGTTACAGAGTAGCATTTTTGTCTGATTTTTCTCTTCTGTTTGCTTGTAAGCTACAGCTTTCCGGGAAACACACACAGCATTTTTCCAGAAAACGAGTCACGTGGTCCCAGTTAATGGAACGTTAGAACCGGCTTCTTTTCCTTTCAGTACACAATATCTCAGAAATTCTGCTAGGCGTTTTATTTATTTTTTAAAATTTGATACCAGGGATCGAACTTGGGAACTTGTGCTTGCTAGGTAGGCGGTGGATCCACTGAGCCAAATCCCCGACCCCGCTAGGCATTTCATTTTCTTATATTTCACAGTCCTACAACCAAAAGCATCTATCAAACCCATTGTACAGGTGAAGAATTTAAGGCCTACTAGGCTTGGGATCTTCTCAGGATCCATGTGTGGGAAATGCCAAGGCCAGGACCAGACTGTAAGTGTGCAGTCATCTAGAGGCCACCCTGTTCCCATTCGTAGCCTGAATCCGGCTCTGTGTTTGAATTTACTTCTGTACTTACAGAAAAGAAAAATCCTCCAGGATGTAGAAAGACTCTTAAGTCCAAAGGACTGAATTAAGAATGTAAAATGAGGCGGTGGAGGAACCACTGAGCTAAATCCCCAGCTTGAAAGAATGTAAACTGAGGGCCAGGAATTTAATTGCGTGGTTCCCCTGCCTGCCTTGCAAGCACTGGGACCCTAGTTCGATCCTCCAGTACTAAAAAACGAAAAGAATGTAAAGTGAGCAGGCGATGGGTGTACCCTGCGCCCAGGAAAACAGCAGGCTAGTGTGTTGCTCTTCCAGGTGCCCTCGGTCTCAGCCAGCACCTCGGCTGTTCCTGGTAGTGGTACAAGCCTCCTAATACGCTTCAGTTCACTATCCCCAGGGTAGCAAATCAAAGGAAGCCATAGATTTTGGAAAAAAGTCCAATATTTACGTAAAGCTACCTCTGAGGATATGAAAGGGCCCATTGGGGTCAATTTGTCATCTCCCTCGTACAAGTGCGGAAGGAGCTTGTATAGTTAAGAACAGAGGGGTGGGGAAGCACAGAGTGGCAGTGCAGATCTCCACACCTTCCTCATCGCTTCCAGCTGTCTTCAGCACATGCTCTTCTAAACGAGGCTCCAGCCTCCTGGGGCCGGTGAGCCTTGCCTATTCTGTCACACTTTTGTGCCGAGGAGCGGAGGAGATATTCATTATAAACTCAGGATGCCATTTCCAGGCTATGAAAACTGACCTTGCCCATTTCCCACAAAGACCAGGCAATTTCTCCAAGACATATGCAAGGGGGTCACAGGGACACCGAATTGTGACCAGTGTTATTGAGGAATTACATTTTTAATGCAGTTTTCCATAGTTGAAACTGCAAGTAGGTAAACCTTATTGGACATTATAGGTGGGAAAGTTCAGAATCTAAACCTATGGGGCAGGAAGTAGAAATTCCCACAGAAGACACAGGGTCACTGCACATCTCCATTGACGGGGGCTGTGTTCTACTTCTTGCTAGCATAAAATAATAGATCTAGAATGTATTCTACTGAGGAAGATGACAGTCATCCTTACGGGTTATCACTGCCTAATTTGCAAACCATTTGCTCTTTGAAGCAATTCTTGCATTGCTCCAGAGGACCAGCAGCTCCATGGTGCTCCGGTGTGAGACAGCAACTTCGGATCCCCTGTCATGTGCCCACTGCGTTCCGGCCTTGCTCTGTGTGGTACCGGGGCTCGGGTGATCGTAGGAAATGCCCTGAGTTCATGAATCCAGCTCCCTTGAAGGATTCTGCTAGTGGTGCCACACACAGCACTACAGGCAAGGTAGTCAAACCCACACTTGACAGGTGCACAACTTCCTGTAAAGGAGAATCTCCGCCCCTCCGGGATGTAACCGTCCTCACAGGGCTGGGTTGTCTCCCTGAGGGAGGGTGTCCTGTTGGGGACTCAGCACCGGTCCTGGTCCCTGGCAGGTTAAACACGAGCAGCAGCTGGAGAAGCCTTGGTGACTGGGATCCCACTCTAGGGAACTGGGACAGAGCGCGCATTCCTCCCACCAGGGCTACTCCGCCGTGCAGCACTGATGCTGTGGGTGACAGAGGCTGGCAGACGTCACCCGGGCTGCTCATTCTGCCCCCATTCTTCAGTGCCTCTTGGTCACAGGTGCTCTCCTGAGCATTGAAATGCAGGGACGATTTCTTCACATTCTCTTTTCCTGTAGGATCGTCGCTGTACCTGTTCCCCCAATTCTGCTTCTCTCAATATTCCATTATTCTTCACTGGATCCCCCAACAACTTCCCACGTTTCCACCATCTATAATTTCACATGCATTAGTCTTTGAGCCCCTTTCTTCTTACATAGAAAAGATAACACTTTTGCTCAGTCCCTAGCTCTTCCTCCAGGGAGAGTTTCTGCCCACTAAAGTGTTTCTTATCCTCACTTGACTGAGGTGGTGTCATTAGGAGAATCTGTATTCAGCTGCCCCCTGACTGAAGCCAACTCATCCGCTGTGGTTTGCATAAGCGTCCCCCAAGGGCTCATGGGTTCAAGGCCTGTGGCACAGGCTGTGGGGTCACTGAGAGGTGAG